TATTTCGACTTAGCCGCCGTAGGTTACACGAGAATTTGGATTGTGGAGCGACTGACTCGCCGTTTCGCCCGACAACACCACCAAGAATTTCATCGGTACCTTTAATCTTCATAACTACAACAAGATGTGTTTTATTATTACATAAATTCCAAAATGAGTCTGCAGTAAAACCATCTCTGGTTCCACGAAGAAGTAATTTAAATTCATATGCATAATTTGTTGCAGAATACATATCATCTTTTTTATTAATCCATGAAGCAATTTCATCTGCATGTACATCACTAATAACTGCTGAAAATGGTTCGGTAATTCTGGTAGGTAATGTTGGTGTTAAAATTAGGCGAGGAGGAAGAATGGTTGATAATATTGGTTGATTGGTCATAAATTTTCTTGTTATGTCTTTCCAAACCTTTTTATCAAGAATTTGTTGATATGGTTGCACATTATTAAAAATATCATCACCAGACATTTGAAAATAACGGATAAGAGGTAAACAATTTTGCAAAGTAGTCTTTAATGTAAGAAAATTTTCATGAGACCAATCTTCAGGATCGGACGGTAGACTAGAATTCTTGGCAATTCCCCATTCAATAACACGATTCCAAATTCTTACTTCTTCCATTTGTAAATCATCTCGACTAATAAGTGATACTAATGCGTTTTCTTGAAGCGTGGTAAAGTCTTCTGAATCAAAAATCTTATTGGGATATTTTGCTAGAAAATCATTGCACCATTTTTGTAATTCTTGAAGTTTATCATTTTGGAAACTTTTTTGATAAATACGAGTAAACTGAAGACGAAGCCAATGAGCTTCTGTTTCAATTAAATGAGTCTCAAGGTAGTTTGCCAACTCTTCAAAAAGAAATTCGTAAGCAATAAGCATAAGTTCAAAAATAAATGATGCATCGTATTTTTCAATTTCAACTATCCCTCCATAAATATATCTTTTAAAATTTTAATTTATTTTAGTTCCTTTTTTTTGAAATATAATTTAAATAATAATCATAACATAAATAACTTACTTTATAATAATTTCAAACTGTTGAATAGAAATATTTTTTAAATCAAGTGCTTTAAATCTATTCTTATCTTTACTGTTAGTCGATAATTCATTACGAAAGTATAAAGATCTATGCCTTAAAATTACCGAATGTGCTTGAAATTCTTTAGTATTTGGTAATTCGCCAACATTAATGATAATATTGAAATCTTCTTTGTCATCAAGCAGTTCAAGATAATTATTTGAAAGATTTTCAAAGAATTTTACCATATTGTTAAAGTGCAAAACTTTTTAGTTATTAGTCTTTAACGTACAATTCTAACAATAATGTAGATTACGTGTACCAATGCATCATTTATACGTATTTGGAAACCTAGCTGCGATTGGTTATCGGTATCAGTAAATCTGCTCGATCGAATGCAAATCCTTTCCCTAAGTAAGATTAAATAATAAGTAGCTGCGCAACGTTATCGCGCAAAACCAGGAACGGGAGAAATCTATGCAGACACCATTTCAGGTACGGGAAACCATATTATTCATTGCAATCCATTCCTGGTATAAGAAAATGACTTAAAAGAAGTCGATAGTACTTGCAATCTGAATATTGGTCTGAATTTTAGTGACTGAGTCTAAAAACCATTGATAAAGTCGATGTCTGACTGCTATATAGTTGGTTAGTAAAAGTCCCAGCATCACCACAAATCGAGGGCGCAGTCACATGACTTCCGATTCTTCAATGCTCCGGAAACACAATTTTATAAAATTTGCAAAACGTAAATGTTTATTAATATGCAAGACAAATGCACGAATATATTCTTTATTTTTTTTATCTTTAGTTGCAAGATAAGTACATGAATATATTTATGTACTAATATTAATTTAATACAAATAATCGGAATTGTTATATTATTGAAATTTCTTTTTTTTATCCATAATATTGTGTATTTTCATTGCTATCTTTCCAAGTTCATGATAGTTTATGTTTATTTTCATAATGCAAAATATCTTCCACTAACTTTTTAAGTGGAGTTAACTTTATTTCCATGTTATTCAGAAATTTTTGGCGGTTAGAAAAACCTTTGGATTCATCAAGAATGCGAAGCACCTAAATATAAATTGATAATTAAAATTTAATATAAAAAAAAAAAAAAAAAAAAGTCTTACTTCATTTAAAACTTGTGACAATTCTGAATGTTTTTGCTCAATCTCTCTAAAGCTATCATTTATTTTGAACATTTCATTTTCATTAATTTCATGTATTTTATCGTTATTAGATCTTTCAGTAGAATTGTTTAGTGAATATTCATTATTTCTGAGATTCATAAAATTGCAGCCTAAATGTATTTCTAGACAAGGGTTGCTTAATACCATGATTAAAGGATATGTTGAATTGTGATGAACCTAAATTAATAGGTTGTTAGAAATATTAATAGATACTGTAAATTTATATTACAATAAAAATTTTTAATATACATATTTTATAAAAAAATGAGAGTAGGTTCGGTCCAATTGGAATGACTAAATGCTTACATAGAAAAAATCTATTATTCATAAAATAAATCCATTTTTCATGATTAGTTAAGTATGTATTAGATTTATATGAATGGGATGCTAATGAATTCCATTTTTTCTGAAATTCCTTTCGCCACGATGTAAGTTAATGTTCATGACATAATAGCTTGAATGTTTCAATTTGTCATGCAATAACCTTAAAAAACTTATAAATTAAATCAAAATAGATATTGATATGTGCTAATTTATATATATGTATATACAGTACCTTTTTATGATTACAAAACACAAAAAATCCAAGTGGGGGCGATTAAACTTGTAAAGGTGATCATGTTTTAAAAGTCGCCAATGTGATTTAATTACCATAGTCATACGTAAAGTACTAATTTTTTCAAATGATGATTGTGCCCAAAGAGACCACTGCTTTGGAGAATACCATTCACACCACATATAAGACCATATAAAAATAAGATTTTTATTATGACAATAGTGATACATTTCACTAACACATTCAATCCATATTTCTTATTGATTTGTTGTAAAAGTCTTATCCTCTTTTGGTAATAGCATGTGCCTATTAAAATGTTTTGTCATAAGATTTTTGATATCTATACAAATTTCTTTATCAGCCAGTTGTTTTTTTATTTGTATTTGTTAGATCAAGCAAAACTGATTGACATGAAATATCAATTATATTGCATTGCTGATGAGCTTCAACTAAATTATATCGAACTATCTTCAGATTTTTTCATGATGATAGTTTTTATTCTATTGCACAATTAATGTGCTACAAGCACAATTGTATATTGACATTAGGCCATATAGTTCTAGTAGCATTAATTTGACAAAGGTCTTTGTCAGTATAAAATATACTTATATTTGTTAATCGTTGTGTTTTTAATGCTGCAAACCATGTAAAAATAGTATAAGTAAGGTTATGATTTTTGCCAGCTGATACAAATAAATATGAGATTGGAAATTCTGTGCCATCTACAATTGCTATAACACTATACAATTCATATTTTAATTTATTTGTATTAAAAGTAGCATCAGTTATTATTTCTACTAATAAATTTTGTGACAATATATCTATGAATGATGTTACGAAAACAAAGGCATGGTCTTCAAAAAAAAGAATTTCTTGATTTTGTGTTTCAAGAAATTTTTTTATAGAATTAAGTTCATTATCGGCATATCAATATTCTCCTTGTGACATTAATGTCCACCAGTAGTATACTTGTTTTATAGTTAAAAGCTCATACCCATTTAATCACTGATCTTTAATTGACTGATAAATATCTGAAACACTTTGATTAATACAGGTATTTATATAGGTTTTGATTTCTTCTATTACATTTAATTTTTCTGGTTGCGGATGTAAAACTTCATACGAAATATCAACAGATACAAGATAATCATCAGGATAAATCTTTATTGTAACCAGACCTTTGCAATTATAATGATCAATACGTGCTTCAGTGTTACATTGTTTTGCAATATCATCAACCTTTTTGCAATGCTTATATAATTCATTTCTTGAATTGCACCAATAAGTAAATGTTGAAAATTTAGATGATTTGCTATTATACGTTGAATGAAAAACATATACGTATTCATCCCTACTACTAATCATATTTACAATTAAATTAGCAATATATAAATCTTTGTCTTTTTCAGTAATATTGATATCAACTAAAATTTCTTCATAAATTGAATCTGAATCAATAAAAAATTGAAAGTAAAAATGTGTATGTCCTTCAAAATCTTCATTCAAGTTTTCATATTCTATAAGATTATTATAAATGTAATCCATGACATCTGCAAGATTGATAATATTATTCTTTTCAATTGAAGAACAATCAACTTCTTGATGCTTTCGTTTTTTTGCATGAGATGTAGAAATGTGACAATTTAAACAATGGCTTTGAATATCTTTATTCATTATAAAATCGGCAAGTAGCCGAATACATCGACACCTTGTGCATGTTTGTGTTCACTTAAAGAATTTTTATTTTCCATTAAAATTTTATTTCTGTTATCATTATTATAATCGTTATTAATAATATAAATATTAATCATTACAGTAATTAGTTAATCAGTCAGAAATAATTAATGATCGGAAGATTGGAAGATCATGTGACTGCGCCCTCGATTTGTGGTGATGCTGGGACTTTTGTTAGTTAGTTAGCATCACTCAGTTCCGAGGAACCCGACCCAAAATTCTGGGGTCTTGCAAAAAACATTAAAATCTATGAAACATTGTTTAGTGTAAGTTTATTGCCCTCCATGTATTTAGAAACGATCGACAAATTCTTTCGATTAAGTCTTTGATGATCAGTGATTATCATTTTATCTGCCCGATAAAAAATTCAATGAAAAAAATGAAAATTACAAAATATTTAGCATTGAGGCCTTAAATTTACATTAGGTCACTAATTTTTGTGTCTAAAAAATTATTTTTACTATTGTCTGTTATTGCATCTTTGATTTTACAGATGTATATGCTCATTTATAATTTTTTTTTTTTTACTGAACGATAAATAAGTCATGTGGACCAATCAATTCCAAGACTTTGTGTACAGAGACATTCGTTTCTGGTACTTACCTTTTAAAGTATTGTTCGGGGTGCTACACAAGATCACGATGAAGGGTAACCCAATCATATGCTAAGAATCGCACACACCATTTCACTTTTAAGTAAACCATACCCTACGTATTTCATACTCCATTCCTGGTAAAAAATTTTGTGTCTAAGAAACGTTCCTATAAATTAACAATATAAATGATTATAATTGAATTGTAACATAGCTATGCATTTTTTGGTCGATATTTTTTCTCAGATTTGGACATATTTGTTTTTTTAAATTGTTATGTATGGTTTTGGATTTTTAAAAAATTTATTGGCGATTACTTTGTATATTCTTGTATTTTTTAGTTTTATTGTCGAATTTATACAACCTAACATAGTTAAAATTTTATTTGCTTACAGGTTAAAATCAAAAATCTTATTAAGATATAATACTAGGCTAATAGGATATAAATATAGGTATGGTTTTAAGAAAATTTGGAATGTATCAACAAACATTAACTAATATTAGCCTATTTGGTAATAAGCTAATTCGATAGAATATGCATGCATTTATAAACCCTTATTTTTAAAAGAAGTCTTAGTTAAATATGAGTAGTATATTAATTTAATAAAATACTCTGAATACCAATACAAATAGGACGATAAGAAAATTAGATCAGCACGCTTCTTCAATAGGATGTTAATTAATATCAATAATTTTGTTTAAGTTACGAGTTATAACATTGTAACTTATAAATAAATGAGAGTAATAATAAATAATCTCAAAAACTAAATATTATAATTAAATAACTATGAAAACAGACCTTCTTCAAGTATTCTAAATAATCAATAGAAATCAAGCAGATTGACATTTTTAAAAAATTTAACACTTTAACTTCGCTGCTAATATTTTGATGAATTTCGAAGCTACTATGGTGCTGAAGGTCTATATTCAATAGTTATACAAAATGTTTCAATTTTTTAAATGGCATAACTTTCAGATAAGAAAGTTATATCATTAAAAAATTGAAACACTTTGTATAACTATTGAGTATAGACTTTCAATATTATATTATAATTGAATAATCAAAAGAAATCTTATATCTTAAGTTTTCTTTTAACTATTTAATAATGAGAATAGTTTTGAATAGTGTTTAGATTCATTTAATCTGGGTACTTGTTAGCCTGATCTAAATAGGCTAACAGGTATTTCTAGTGAATTAAAACTAATTGTTAAAGTTTTGTTTATATTACCTTTAACATATTTTATTTTATTTATATAAACAAAACATTAGCAATTAGCTTTAAACTACTAGGAATGCTCAATAGATCATTTAGAATTAATGTGTCTAAGTATTAGTTTGTATTTATTGTTACTAGTTGCTAGTTGGAAGTTGAATTGTAGAAGTTTTAGAAGTTGTTTTTTTAACTGTTATTATGTTATGCATAATTGTGTTTGTTAAATTTTTTTAAAAAAGATTATAAGAAAATCTTTCTTGATACTTTGAAAAGATTTTTTTTATTATTGTTAATTTATCTATTGTTTTTTTTGTTTTAATTAGATCATTATTTTTTATATCATCTTTATATTATATATAGTATATATATTAAATTAAATCTATTTTAATAATATTTAATACTAGGATTCTATACTATGCTTTTTTATTTTTACATTTTGTTTTGTTTTAATAATGTATAAAAATGGTTTGCTTTTTAAAATAATATTTAATTATTAAATATAGCAATAAGTTAAAGTTTAAAATATAAATTAATATGTTTAGTAATATAATATAATAATCAATATTAGAATGTTGTAAGTAATTATAAAAAGTATAACTGAAAATAACTTGTAACTAGAGTTTTGAGTTTGATTTAATTTAAATTAATTCAAATATTAAATTTAAATTAAATTTACATCTAAAATTTTTAAATTAAATTAAATTCAAATATGATAAATTTGATTTGATTTAATTTGAAAATTATAATTTAACATTTAATAGTATAAGTCATTATTCAAAATTTTATTAAAACAATTAGTCTTTTTATTTATAAAACAAGAGGTATTTTGTTTAAAAAACATTTACTTAAGAACTCAAGATTAATTATCTTAGTAAAAGTTTTGTAACTAAAGATTTTATTATAATGATTAATATTTTTAAACTTTAAAAATTTTCTTAAATTAAATCAAATTCAAACTAAAGTATATTTGATTTAATCAAGTTCAAATTAATTTAATATTTGATTTAATTAAAATTTAAGAAATCTTACTTGTAACTAAATTCTTTAAAGTTGTAAATTATAATAGTTTTTACTTTTTGAAATTCTAAAAAAATTATGTTTACAATTTAGTAAATATAAATTATTAAATATAATAAGTTGATTTAAAAAAATATATAAATCAAAAAATTATTTTAAATAATCAATATGTAATTTTGTACATTTGACACTAAATTTAATAAATATATTACAATTAAAATTTGGTTTTTGATTATTACAATTAAGTATTTCTTTAAATATTTATATAGAGCATAGTTGTGCTATAATTAAATTAATTTCAACAGGTAATAAAGTAAAACTAAGTAAAATTTATTATTACCTTAATGCATGTTATATGTTAGCTTTAAAAACTTTTAAAAAATTTATTATTATTATTTGTATAATAAAAAACCAGACATTTAACAACTTCAAGTAAATTTAGAGAATTAGCAGTTGATAATATATTCAAAAGAAAGATTAGTTTGGAAAATTTTATAGCAAAATAACATTAATAAAATAATGCTTACAAAATAATTTATAGAAATGCAATATAGGAATTTAACTTATAGCAATTTTTTAACAAAATAGGTTTGAAACAAGCAAAAAATACAATACATATTTAGAAAGTAAAGCAATATATTTAATTATATATTTCAAGTATCTTGAAGCAAAAGAATGATTCTATTTTTAAATACTACTTAATATTATATACAAAGCAACTTCATTTTAATATTTGCAAACAATTAGAGAAATTTCTTATAATTCTTTTAAAAAGATTTGCAATGCATTTGAGCTTACTTCAAAATGAAAAAAATAAAATAAATGACTATACAAGGTAAGTTTATTTAACTGTTTGCAATAATTCTCTTATTTTGTGAACCAATATATTTTAAAAAACTATAAGTATTTTCTAACATTTACAAATGATATTTTTGCACAAACTTGTTATGATACTAATGATTTAATTCTAGAATTGAGTAATGAAACTCTATAAAACAGAGCATTATATCACTTGCAGTTAATTCTTTAAAAAAAAATAGCAATGATCTTATTAGCTTTTCAAATATAAGCAAAATATTATATTTGCTACATATTATTGAAGTAAATAAAAGTAAATCACAGTAAATTGATATCTTGTCACTATTTTCCTGTGCAAAATATTGATACATCTTAAAAAAATTATCATAATCATATTTCACGTTTGACTGTAAAGACACATACATAAGTTTGGCTATTGACATCTATATGAGAACTGGTTTAAAAAAATGTTGATCTGGGAATTTAGGTGAATGGTGATTTTCATAATTAATCACGACAATGGGTATTTTCGGAGCAAATGATTTTTCTATAAGGTTAATTCAGACCAAAGTTTTAACCCATACCCTTGGGCATTATTTCGAAACAATATGGTAATGTCCTTCGGACGATACTCAATTAGGCTGAACCACCCTAGCGTCATCCAAAAAATCAGTTACATACTGGAATTTGAAATTAGCATCGGTACTTAATAACTCAAATAGCGATACTAATGACTTATCAATAAATATATTGCAATGAAGCAATATACAAATTGTGGTTTAAATTATTTTTGCTATACATACATATATTGTATAATGTATATTCTTTTTTTTTTTTATTAACGCTGCATCCATTAATTTGTTTATAAAAAATATTCAAATTATCATCTATATATATGTATCTAAGTTAATTTTCTTAATAAATTATTATTTCAGTTTTCTATAGTTAGCGAAATTAATTTTTACAAGTGGCGAAATTATTGAATTATTGACTATTTGAATTCTTAAA